AATCAAGGGCAAAGTTGTCCAATTGGCTTAGATTTTGGCACATGGATTCCACTAAATCCATCTTGGACCAGCTTTGACCTGAATTCTCTCTCTCTTCCTCCCATTTTCTGTTCAGCTGAAGCCCATTCTCCTCCTCCCCTTCACCGTCTCTTCCTCCTTCGTTTCTGCTGGACCGGTGCTGTTCACACCGGAGTTGCTGGCCGCCGGAGCTGCTGGCTGCCGGTCCTTGTCGCCCAAACTGACCACCACCCTCTCCCCTCACTCTCTCTCTCCCGTCCCTCTCTTTCTTTCCCTGTGTTGTCGCCGGTGGTGCCACGACTCGGGCCATCACCGCCGACCACCGGGAAGCCTCGCCGGACGCCGCCGTGCCGGACCACGAGCACCACCACTCCCAGCCATCATTTTTTCCCTTGAACCGCCGCCCACAGCAGCCATTCCAGCCCCAAACCGAGAAGACCAGATCCAAATCGCCATCTCCGGTGCCGCCGTGACCGCCGGCTTGCCCCCGGAATGCCGCCGTCGATTCTCACCGAGTGTCGGTAATCGACCGCCCGTTCCCGTCGTCTCGAGTCAATATTAGGCGAGTATAAACCCCTAAACCCTTAATTAGTCTAATTGTGCTTTTTAGAGGGTAATTAGGAGGTTAATTAAGCTTAATTAGGTTCTAATTAGGTCTAATGTTGTGTGTGGTGATTAGGGGACCTAATTAGTGCTTAATGATATGGTTTAGAGGTGAATTAGGGCCTAATTAGTCTGCTGACCTGGTACTGTTCACCAGTACCGAATTTGCCTTAATTTGTCCAAGTTGAGTATTTAATGGATGATGGATTAATGGCGGGAATTTTGCCAATTTAGGGGTTGAGTTGGGACTTGTCTAAACCCTATTGGAAGACCCCTAGATGGTGAGAGCGGAGATCGAGATCGATTTGCCCAAGGCGGGCCTTAGACGCATTAAATTGATTTGTAATAAATGTGCGGAATCAATGTTGAATTGATTGGGTTAGAATGGAAATAAATTGAATTTGCCGAGGGTGCATTGAATGCGTCTAGATCGAGAATGAGTGTGTTTGGCATATTGGTGTTGGAAATTGATCTTGAGTGCCTTCGCTTATAATTCATATATCATGATGTTGATTGATTAGAATTGAGCGCATTGATGTACATGTTTGAAGTGATTCAAATTCGAGCCTACGGGTCGATTTATCAAACTGTTGGCCTTCGGGTCGGGCCTACGGGTCGATTTATCAAATTGTTGGGCTTCGGGTCGGGCCTACGGGTCGATTTAACAAACTGTTGGCCTTCGGATCGGGCCTACGGGTTGTTTTATTAAATTGTGGGCTTTCAGGTCGGGCCTACGGGTCGCTATATTCAATTGTGGGCCTTCGGGTCGTTATAATTGTGCATGATTCATATTGAATTCAAATGCTTAACTTGCAGGGCTGAGATAATGAATTGGGCTGTGAGCTCGGGCAAATTTATAATGATTTACTGATTCATGAATTGATTGTGTCGATTTACCTATCTGGAGGTGCACGTTAGCCTAGTTTAGGATTAGTGGTTTATACTTGCTGAGTTTTCTCATGGTTGTTGGAAAACCGATATTTCAGACCCTCGGCAGTAAAGATGGCGGAGCCGCTCGTGCGTTTTGGGATTCCCCACTTCATTGAGAAGACGATGTCTGTACACCCAGTGGGGGACGGAAATATGTACATTAGGTATTATACTTTAGTATGGGCTATATCCTCTTGACTAAAGCCCATCTTAGCTCAGTTTAGTACCCCGGCCACTGATCCTTTTTGTTCGTCTTGGTCGCAACTCGTTTTTGGGTTTTGGCTCTTTGTAAATGGATTTACTATAAGCTTCTATATGTTTATAAAAGAGTATAGTTGTTTTTATTTGTTGATCACTCGTGTGCGTCTATCCTTGGCTCGTGTTTATTTTGTCTGGGTGATGTATATTTATTTATATATCGTGCTTTCGCTTGTGGCTTGATCTCTGTGTTGGATTTTGGGTCGGCGACGTGTCCTGGGAGCGTCGCACCACGATTTCGACCTGTACGCGGGATGTTAACGCTTCGTGGGGTACGGGGCGTGACAGTACATGCTTGGTTTGGGTGAAAGAAAGATGAGGGAAAATGACTTCCTCTTACTTTAGAGGTTTTTTTTTTCCATTCACAAGAATTGTTTTCCTTAAGCAGTTTCTTTTATGTGTACCAAACATCAGAAAATCTAGAAAGCATTTTCCTGGAAATTGTTTTCCGTTAAGCAAATTGAGCATTCATCTCCCCTTATTCGTTCTTCAATTCTATAGCTTCCCAATAAACGTTGGAGAGTTCGGTCGGATATAAATGCCTTTAAGTTCATACTGCAATCTTATTCAGAAGCATTAAGAGCATCCCTTTTTTTTAGTAGTAATAAACAGTAATTTGCTCCCTGTACCGAATCACATGTGCATCCAGTAATTCTTTTCATCCAAATCATTAAGAATTAGAACTCTTTTATTAGACAACCTATCTTTAATTGTTAATCCCATTATATAATGAATGTCAATTCCCTTTTAAGGATGTTAGCACCGGACGCCCTTGATTCTAGAAGTTTCTTGACTATTGGAAAGAAAGCAAAGTACTCAATCGCATGAAATCTGATTGTAGATGATTTTGGCAATTGTCGTCTGCCTATCCACTCGTTGGTAGCCAAAATAGACCAGTTTGCTCGAATTGGTCAGTAAGAACGATACATTGCAGCCTGTTAAAGTTGACAAAGGCAGGTTTTTTAACACCAATAAGTGGCCCTTCCCCCACCCCATTCTTCTCTTTTCTCTTCACCATCATAACGCAACTGAAAAAAGAACAATACGATTGCGGGGTAAAAAAGTTAGTGGAATTCTAAAGAGGGGTTTATTAAAAAAAAACACAAACTTTAGGTTGAGTTATAATTATGGCCTCAACTTTTTTTGTCTAGTAAAAAAAGCACCAACTTTAACTTGAGTGACAATTATGGCCCTTTCATAAAAAAATCACCAACTTTCATCCTTATCTCAAATTTGGCCCCTCGTTAACTATCTCTCTGAAGTCACCCTTGTTTGAAAAAAAATGTTATGGTCGTGAGATTGGCAGATCCCGTCCATGGCATCTGTTGACTGGCGGTGGTCTACAACTTCATATTATGACAAAACGACGAAATCTTACTAAAGAGATTTAATTTGGAGATCTTTTTGACTTGCTAGTGAATTGAATGAGACGAACAGTTTTGTCGTTAATCTTCAAGTTGTAGCTTAGAGAAGAAGACAATGAATAGTCCTTTAAATCCAGTTAGCAAGCCACGTGGATTTATTGTTGAGATGGAATAGTCAAGTTGGATAATCAATGGTTCAAAGTCAAGGGGGGTCAGATTTGGGATTTAAGTGAAAAGTAAGTGATTTTTTATGAGACAGAGAAAAATTTGAGCCAGAATTGTCACTCGACCTAAAATTTATGTTTTTTTAAGAGACAAAAAAAAGTTGAGACCATAATTGTCACTCAACTTAAAGTTTGTGCTTTTTTTTTTGGAATTAGGCCTTCTAAAGAGATGGGGGAGCAATCGAGTGCTTCCAGTGACTAAAATAATATATTAAAAGAAATTCTTCTCGTTCTTTTTGTATTATTGAATTTTAATTATCCTGTCTTTGTGGGGTTACTTCACACTCAACTGACCACAAATTGCAAATATATCTTCTATTAGATTTTCTGACAACATATGTCTCGATAAATGCCCACTCACTTGCCCGCAGATTGCGGGAATGACGACCTAATTGTAGTGTCACTTTCGGGGTTAGGGTGTCTTGTCGGGGCTATTTTAGGAAAGGTCACCCCTATCTCTTTCCAGTGCTTTAGGGGTAAGCAGTTTTAAGTTTCATATAAGTTTCACCTAGAACGCATCCGATGGAATATGTTTTTTATTTATTGGAACTTGGAACCTACCCTATATACCGTGGAATCTGGAACCTACCTACTCACAGGTTTCGGGATCGATTATAGGATCTATCAGGTTCTACCTCTATTATTAATTAAACTATTGTAATGAATCATCGCCATTAATGACCACCACTTATTGTTATAATTCACTGACCACAACTTGAATTTAGACACGTGAAGAATATGAAATATTAACAAAGTAAAAGTCTCGATTATAAAAGGGAGGCTCAGACTAGTGGTTTTAGATTGTACACTCGTCATTGGATGCACATGAAATACTGCGGGATCAAGCGAACACATAGATCAAGAAAAATACAAAAACTTGTTCCAGGTTATACCTACCTAAAACCTGGAACCTACTTGTCGAAATAGGTTCCTTATTTTTGGAACCTAAAACCTATCATGCATACCTTTGACTCTTGAACCATACAGGTTCCCACCGGTCCAGTTCTTCGATTTCAAGTTCTATCATGGAACCATGCTCACCCTTACTGTGCTCTCCAAATCTGTAAAATTGCAATAGAAGCTTGGGAAAATATGGTAATTTCAATCGAGACGTGTGGGCTAAAAATCCATCGTTTTGGGGTTGGCCACGTGGAAAGGGGATGGGCTCTTTGTTCTAACTTCCATGTGGTTTTGAGACCAAGGACCTTGCCCCACCCAAATGTGGTGTATGGATTAGGGGTGTGCAAAACGAACCACCTGTCACGCCCCGTACCCTACGAACACATAACATCCCACCGCGGTCGTTAAAAATGCGACTCCCAGGATTCGTTGCCGACCCGTTACTATCGAATAAGAGAATATACGCGGAAGCCAAACGAACACTCCATTCAACAAACATTCAAACGGGATAATAGAGAGACAATTTAAACAAACTAACAAACCATTTTATAAACTTAACGTCACCTACAGCAATAACATATACAAGCCTTCCTAAAACCCACAAACTCAGACCACGCATACTCAAAAAGGGATAGGGTGGTCGATCTGCTCCACTACTCTATTCAAAAGAGGAGCTCCAAAAAGATAGGGATTTCTAACCCTATCAAAAACCTCTACAGCATCCTGACAGTGTTCTTGGTGAAGCCGGGTCAGATGCCTCATTATAAGAACCAGGCGGCAAAGGCTCCGGTTCAGGGTCTGACTCCTCGGACCACGCCGGGGGTTCCGTAACTATCGGTTCGGACTCAGGATTAACAACAGCTCCATCAGGGGGATCAATCTCCATAAGATCCCACACTCCTAAACCATCGTCAGGGGGAATATCAAATCCCCAAAGAGGACCAAAAGTCTGAGCTCCATCCCTCAGAAACCAAGCCATGTACTTGTGAGCTGTCAAGTACTGCTCACCATCATCGATCCAAACTGTACTCTCATACTTCCGATACTCTCTATCCTCATCAACTGGGTACTCAGTCACTCAATGCTCCGTTTTTGTTGGTACCCCGAAATGTAGCGGAGGCTCAGTCATAATCAATGTCGAGGGTCTGAAATGTTTGACAATGGGGAATGAGATAAAATCTCAATAAGTAAATTGCTTAAGCCTCGACCAGGGCAATACGTACCTCTAGCACCCTAATCATGCAATTCTAACCAATAGGTTAAGTTCCTATCAAATGAACAATGGTACTACATACTATGCAAAGTCTCGAATTGCATCACAACCATGGCATACTATCAATATGCATAACAGCAATAATAATAATCCAGACATACTCAATCATTCACACGAGTCTCAATTATAAGATGAAATCACTTCGGCCTGTCCCATACCGTGCCCCACGATTTTATCCCATAATCAAGCGCAAAGCATGTCATATACACATAACACTCGAAGTTGCCCAGATTATTAACGACCCACCATAGGTTACACCGAACTCCCGCTGGTCTTCCGACATAGCCAGGCATCACTCCACTACTTTTGGCGTGGTAACGTTCGGGATCCGACCCCCCCCCCCCCCAACAAGTCGGGTACTAGACGGCATTCCATTTAGGAGCATCGATCCGGCCTCCACCGCGATCGACAATGTCTAGGATCGAAACCCCCCCCCCCCCCCCGACAAGTCGGGTACTAGACAGCATCCAAACTTCCGCCGAGCAACGTCTAGAACTCATCTTAGACGAAACTCATCATGGCCATACACGTAAACAACCACGCATTGCCAATTTTAATCTTCCCTAATTAGCCAATGCAAGTGTTTATGACGTGTGACATTCCGAATTTGGCCCATTTTTGGGATTTATAAAACGGGTATTTCGTCAGTGCGCTTATAGTAAAAATCTCGCCCGGGAACTGATCACTCCCGGTTATTATTTTTAAACCTTGAGATTTCGCTAGAATCGCATTCGATCGAATTTGGCCGTTATTTAGACCCTGACCTTGGCAGTCGATTTTCGAGAGTATCGGGACGAAATAAATTGGACGGTGTCGATATTATTGTGGCCAGCGTCGAGGCGATTAGGAATAGTGAGAAAGTGGATTTTTGGACCGGGTGCGAATTTGACCGGTAGACCTCCCTCGTAGTGTGTTTCGAGTTATTTTATTTTGGCCCGTTGTCTTATATTATTGTTTGGGATTTTTCGGGGACAGTTAGATCTTTTTCCGGGTTTGAATCGCGACAGTTAGAATAATATTTAGTTTGAACCGTGTCCGTTGGTTCGCGCTCAAGGATAAATATTAGCTTTTCTTTCTCTCTCCTTTCTCCTCTGCGCCGCGCCACCCACCCCCGTGCAACGTCCCCTCTGCGCACGTCTCTCTCTCTCTCTCTCTCTCTCTCTCTCTCTCTCTCTCTCTCTCTCTCGCGCCGCGTCCGCCCCCCCCTTGCGTGCACGTCCCTCCCCCATTAAGCCATGCGACCCATCCCTCTCTCTTTTCTCTCTCCTCCTTTTTCCTTTTCTTTTCTTTCTTCTCTTCTTCTTCTTCGTTGTTCCTCGCGGGCGTCTGGTTCTGCTCCGCCGTGCCCTGCTCGCCGACCGCCGTTCGACGGCCGTTCCGCCTCCGTCCAACGCCACCCCACCAGCCGCCGATGCCGCCGTCCTCCCCGCGCCGTCGTCGCGCGGCCCGTGTCGCCCGGTAGCCTCGCCCGACCCTCGCTTCTCCTCCTCCCGAACGCGTGAGCTCGGCTCGCCGCCATACTTCGTCTCGGCCCGGCGTTGCCCGGCCCGGCCGCCTTGCTCCGCCTCTTTCCAGCTCGCCGCCGCGGACCTCGGCCCGTCGCCTTCGCCGCTCGTTTGTTCGTGCACACGGAGCTCGCCGACCCGAGCTCGACCGTCCCGTGCCGGCCCACCGCCGCTAGCTGCGAGTCGTCGCCACGTCGCCCAGCCGTCCCTCGTTCTTTGCTGCCGCGGCCGGCTCTCCATCGCTGGCTCTGCCGGCCAGCTCACCGCCGGCCCGCCATCTCTCCCCCTCGCCCCGATCCCTCTCTCTCCTCACCCTCACCCCCGGCTCACTCTCTTTCTCCCCTGTTCGCCTCGTCGCCGCCGCTGCCGTCGCCGCCGGGTCGCCGCCGCAGCGTCGCCGTCCGCCGCCGCCCGACCAGGCCTAGCCGTAAGCCGGCTCGTCGCCCACGCGACCAAGCCGCGCGCCCGTCGCCGTGCCCGTTCCGCGCCCGTGCCCGTGCGTGTGCCGTGGCCGAGGCCGTGCCGTGGCCGAGCGCCGTGGCCGAGCTCGCCGGCGCCGTGCCCATCCGACTAGGCGCGTTGCCCATCCGACTAGGCGCGTCGCCCGTCCGTTCGCCCGTGCGCCCCTTGGCACGCCGTTCGGCCATCGCGCCCGCGCGCGAGGCACGCCGATCGGCCATTGTGCCCGCCTTGGCCTGCCACCGCGCCCGTTGGCCCGTGCCCGCGCCTAGTTCGGCACTGTTCACCCGGGCCATTTTAGGCCCGAGCCGATTTTCTCCGGGCCAAAACCAAGTAAGTGACTTCCTAAATCCTACCTAGTACTTTGGGTATTTTTAGACTTGTTTAGGGTGAAATTTAGTACCGGCTTAGGAATTTAATTAGGTATGGGCTAATTAGACTGATTGTGTTTAATTGGTGAATTATTGTGGCGATGGTTGTGCGGCTAATTTAGTAATTGACTGAGATAGATATGCCGAATTGAATTAATTGAATGTGCCGACATGAATGTCGGGTCGGTGGACTGATGTGGGGAGCATGAATTGAGTTGACTGATGTGGCGTGCTAGATTGACATTGGTGAAAGGGTGGTGATTGAAATTGATTTATATGACTAAGAGCATGGTGAATTTTGTATTGTGGTGCATGTGCATGAGAAAAGCCCGGCTTGATCTGAGGGCTGACCTGAGGCGCAGTAGCGCGGGTCGTGGGAAAGTGTGAAATGTCCAGTGAGGGACTGAGCCCGGCTTGATCTGAGGGCTGCCAACCTGAGACGTGGTTACGCGGGTGTGGCTAGAAAGGCAAGTAAGGACCTGAGGCGTGGTTACGCGGGTCGAGAGAAATGTCCTGAGGCGTGGTTACGCGGGACTGAGCCCGGCTTGATCTGAGGGCTGCCAACCTGAGGCGTGGTTACGCGGGTGTGGCTAAGAAAGGCAAGTAAGGACCCGAGGCGTGGTTACGCGGTCGAGAGAAATGTCCTGAGGCGTGGTTACGCGGACCGAGCCCGCTTGATCCGAGGGCCGGCTCGAGGCGTGTTGACGCGGGCCGTGTGAAAGGACCCGGGAGGTCGTGAGAAAGTTGCTCGGCCACGCATGCGAATTGAGTGTGATTGAATTGACTGGTTGAATTAGTTGGAGTGATTGAGTGAAAGTGTGGTTGGTGTTTGAGCGATTTGTGATGTGCTATTTAATTAATATTATTGCCTTATCACGTGACAACTAACGTGTAGAGTTGGCATGGACTTGATGACGAGGTAAGTACAATTATGTGAATTTTATATGTTATGGGGTAGATTGCATGTATGACTTGTCCGGGTACGCATTGGCCTACGTGGGGTTTAGGGGTTGCTTATTGAGACTCGTTCTCACGGTTATTATATAACCATTTCGGATCCGCGACCGTAATCGATTTGGAGACGCCGCGAGCACCACAGGGATTGAAGAATAGATCATTTACCCTGTCTTTTGAGTACCTTTTGTAGAGGAGATAAGTTTGTCAACCACCGCCCCCTTTTGAAAACTGTGGTTCTAAATTGGTAGCCCGAGTTATCGTTTTGTATAGTGGCTATTTTATGATGGTATGCAATTATTGTTTCGCACTACCCCTTTGTCGTTGTTTATTGTCTGGGTTAATTAGTTTCGCTTCCGCTTGCTTTTATTGTTTAGTGTTTCGTTTGGGTCGGCGACGCGTCCTGGGACGTCGCGTTCAATGATCGACCATCGAGGGATGACCGCGCGCTCGTAGGGTGCGGGGCGTGACATCCCCGTTGATTTGGTATCAGAGCAAGGTTAGCTCGATCCAAGTGGTCGAAGCCTGGAGTGATAAGGAGCGATGACTTTGGGGTAGCTAGTTAGGGAGACTTGTTGGCCATGCGTACCCCAGACTGTATGATTGTGATTGCTGAGTGGTTTTTATGCAATATTATGTGAGGTGCAGGTGCGTCAGGACTTGAGGTAAGTGCATGAACTCTGTTGGTTGTGATTGGGTGTTGTTGTGGTTGGCTGCCTGCTTAATGAAATGTGTTGTGATGCACTGCCTAGGGCTTAGACTGGTGTAGTTGGCCTAGGTTTCTAATTCCTGCGTGGAATTTAGCAGGTGAGCCTTATGAGGACCGGTAAGATGAGCGGTCGAGGTCGAGGTAGAGGTCGAGGTAGAGGTCGAGGTCGAGGTCGTATAGCCCCGCAAGCTGGAGTTGTGGGGGATCCCAGATTGGATGAAGTGTGGAGGGTACTTGAGGAAGCAGGGATTATTATCGGGTAGACAGGACGGGAGAAAGGAGCGCGCCAGGCTATGCTGCAGTACCGGTGAGATCATAGGGAATAATGGAAATCGGGGAATAATGTGATTAGTGGAAATCCGGGTATAGTGCGAGTAAATGCGAACAGGCCGATGTCCAAGCTAGTTGAGCAATTTCTGAGGTTGAAACCCCCGAAGTTTGATGGGAGAGGCGACCCCGAGGCTGCACCAAGATGGGTAGAAGAGCTAGAGAAAGCTTTTGAGGTGCTGGGGTGTACTGAGGAAGAGAAAGTGACGCTAGCAGTCTATCAGCTTCAGAATAATGCAAGTGATTGGTGGAGGGCCACCAGAGGTCAAGTATTCCCACTGGTACTGCCCGAATTGGATTGTTTTTACCGAGACCTTCAATGGCAAGTATTTCTCGGAAAGTGCCCGAGAAACGAAATTGGCTGAATTTATGGGGCTCACGCCAAGGTCGAGATCGGTAGATCGGTATGAGGCCGAGTTCGCAAGACTGTCCAAATTTGCCCCGGGATGGTGGAGGACCCGATG